CGCCTGCTGAGTTTTTCCTGAGTTCCTAAGAACGCACATTGAACGAAGTCTTCAGATAAAAACAAAATCACTGGTTCATTCCCCAAGAAACGGTCCTAAAACGTTTTCTCTGAACCAGGGGTAGTTCCTGAAACTCGGTCGTTTCCCTTAACTTGTTTTCCTTCCCTCTTCGCCGAGGACCGATCTTCCCGCCTCAAGCTCCTCCCGTGGCGGTTTCGGTTTCGGCTTCGGCTTCAGGTACTTAGAGTAGCCGCGGAGACTCTCAACCCCGCGCAGACTCCGCGGCGGCAGAGCAGGGGTACAGGTGCGTTTGGGCGCGCAGCCTTGGGGATGCGGCGGGGAGGGGATGCGGCGGTCAACTCCGAGGGCCGCTGAGGGTCCCAGCGCTCCTCCTGGGTGACCCCTAAAACGATCTCCCCAGTCCTGGATGAGCTCCTTTCTCTGCCTGCCTCCTAAATCCGTGTTGGTTTCCCAAAACCCATTACTGTGCTGTGTTCTGCTCGCGAGGAGGGCTTAGGGGTGGGGAGGACTCCTCCGGGCGCCGGGGCGCCGTGTGTTCATGGACTCTTGAGTACACGAGAGGGGACGGCTCGGGGGGAGCCTAGAGGTGTTGGAGGTACTGGGGACTGCACGAAGGGGAATGGGTTCGCTCGCACATGCAGCCCCTGTACAGAGGCGCAGCCCAAGCGCCTGAGTGGGTCCCTGAGCAGCTCTACCGCAGGGGTGCAAGGGGCGTGCCAAGGGATGGGATGGGCCACAGGGAGATGGGAGAGCAGGACTGGCCGCTTGGCCGATGGTTCAGCTTGAGCCTCAGAGGACAGCGAAGCGTGTGGACAAGGCCGAGCCCCGTGGGCCAGGGGTCTCTCCCATTGCTTCACGGGCTTCGGGGGCCTCGCACACTGAAACTCAGCATTTCCAGGGAGCCGAGGGCTCTGGGTGGAGCGTGGACACTCATCCACTCGTGCACACATACACACATACTTTCGTGTGCACTCATGAACACTCCCAGACACACTTCGTGTGCTCTCATTCATGCACACACCTGGGTGTGTATACTCATGGACACACAGACATTCATCTGCTCTGGAACGTTCACATGTGTGCACTAACATGAACACTCCCACACATTTGTATACCCACACCCCCATTATCTATGTGTACACTCACCTGTGCCTGCACACACCCGCACACGTGTGTGCACGTAACACACCCATATGCAACAATGCACACATCTGTGTGTGTACTCGTGGGCACACACTCACTCGTGTGCAGGCGTGTACTCAGGAACCCACATTTACAGTCATGCACACACGTGCATGTATGCTCACTGCAGCACACACTTAGGAAAAGAGTCCGAGGTTTCCCCTGAGCACAGGGACTGTCCACCACCCCTGCCCACCGCCTTCAGGTTCATTTCTGGTTAAATGCCAACAGCAACCAGCAGCAATCTCTGCTTTTCATCTATCCCCAGGAAAGCTGGTGGTCCCATCTCAAGACCACTTTCCCTGCCCCTGGAGGAGGAGTTGGGGTTGCCTGGAGAACCTCCTGTCTTCTGGGGGTCGGTGACCGGTAGGTGACAGTAGGGCCAGGGGCACAGATAGTCACAGGGGGCAGGGTAGGGCCTGTTTCCTCCCCAGACCAGCTCAAGGTGGAAGTGCCCACTCCCGGCTGCATAGCAGGTAGGTCAGGTGTCGTGAGATGGGGGGCTGCGCATTATTGGAGGACAGCCTGGGCAGGTTTCACTTTCAGTATAGCAGGTGGGGTTTTCCAGGTGATGTGTTTAACAGCAGAACCTATAAAGCAGATCCTGTGCTCTTCACATCCAGCCCCTCAGCCCTCCTCTGAGCAGGATGGTGTATCTTCATGCCACCTGTTCGCTTCACAGATGTTTGACTTGTCCATGGTCTCTGGGGCAGATTCCTGAAGCTAGAGACCTTCCCCAGCACCCCGACCCAGACTTAGGGCCCCTCAGCATCTTTTGGGGAGTGTTTCTAAGGATGCAGTGACCAGGCACCCCACTTCCCTCCCACCCACATTCCTCTGGGAAGTTGTCTACCCCTCTGGCCCAGCCCCTCCTCCCTGTCATGCATTCTCAAGGCTGCCACAGTGGAGCGGTCTCTCAGTGATGACTTAAGTCCAGTCCTGCCCAAGCCATCTAGGGCCAGCAGCTCGGGACCCCTAGACAGCCCATCACCGACTCTCACGTTTACGCTTCCTACAGGATTCCCAGAGCTCCTGGTGGTGCAAACAGTGCTAACTGGAAGGTTCTTCTGAGATAACCTCTGTGTGGCCTTGAACCTCTAACTTTTCCATCAGGAGCCACGCCGACTCATAGTGACCCTTTATAGGGTTTCCTAGGAGCAGCTAGTGGGTTTGAACTGCCAATCTGGTGGTTAGCAGTCCAGTGCTGATCTTTCAGCGTCACTCCAGGACTCCAGATTCTGTTATTGGTGGTTGGTTGTGTGCTGTTGAGTTGATTCGGACTCACAGTGACATTTAATAGAGTTTTCTAGGAGTGGCTGGTGGGTTTGAACCACCAACCTTACTGGTTACTAGTCCGGTGCTTATCCTACAGCACCAAGCCAGGGTTCCCTCTGTTGAGTAGGCTCCCACTTATAGCCACCCTGTACAGGGTTTCTGAGGAGTGGCTGGTGGGTTTGAACTGCCATCCTTGTGGTTAGCAGTGCAGTGTTTTTCCTTCAGCGCCACATTAGGACCTTAGGTGAGATACAAAATGAATCCATGCAGGGAGAATATTACGTGATCCTCACTGCAGGCTGCAAGCTGGCCAGGCTGGACTGACCGCTGGGCAGGCCCCAGGAACATGCACCATTATGACAAATTGCACGTAACGCTGGACCTTGGCCAAAGTTACCTGACGTACAGGGTTTTGTCTTCTTACTTGTCAACACACACCCCTCCAAAGTCCACTGTATTCAGTCAGCATGCTTTACACAAACACATCTTCGCTGAGGTCACCTCTGTCCACATTTTCTACATTTCAGGTGAGAAGCAAGACTGACCTTTGACCAGATCACCCTGGCCACGGTGTCCTGGCCTGGGCCCTGCCCGGGGAGATTGACAGAGTGGGTGTGGAGCCTGGAAGATGCCTGGCTGGCCTTTGTGTGTTGACATGTGTGTTTGTGCATGCATTCCTGCATGTGCCCTGGGCTGTACATATGTGCCCATGTATGTGCATGTGGTGGCAGGAACCAGAGGACCAGGGAGCAGGAGGAAGATCATGAAGGGCGTGGGTCTCTGAGGGAGCCCCCCCAAACAGCACCTGATTGGTGTGGAGCAGGGTGTCTGGGCGCTCAGTCTATGAGGTGCAAGTCTCAGGCACAAACTGCTCGCTCCTGGAATTGTCCATCAGAACTCAGAGTGTGTCTGCCAGAAGGAAAGCCCAAGGGACTCCAGAGGAGGGTCTTGGTGGTCTTGGTGGGCTGTGTGTGGGGGCCCAGCTCACACCCCAATTAGAAGCTCTGCATAGGAAAGAGACACCCTGCTGAAGTGAGGGGTTAGGGTGGTCCCTCATCAAGTGCAGGCAGGGGTGGCCTTGGGCTGCCTCTGGACCAATGGGCAACATTTTGCATCACTTGCAAAATTGCCCACATTAGGAAAAGTTCTTTTTAAAAACATTACAGGAAAAGGGGTGTGCAGATCTTATCTGAGATACCAGGGGAAGCGTTTAAATACCTTTTTTAGAACCTTCCAGGGAAGGCTCCTGAGATGGGCAGAAAAGGAAGAGCTGTGAAACCAAGAAGGTTAGGCATCCGACTGAGAAATCTCAGCGTCTTCTAAATGATTCAGAACGTGTCTCTGCAGGATGGGGCAACTGCCGCTTTGTGCCTTCCCCAAACTCCTGATTCTGAGAAGGAACCGGCTATCGTTAGGTCAAGGTTCTTGGGGGAGAATAAGCATCTAAAAGATTCAGAACGTGTCTCGGCAGGTATCCCCAAATCCCTGATTCTGAGAAGGGAAACGGCTAAGGTTAGGTTCTTATGGGAGACTAAACATAAGAAGGTGTGAACACAGATAATGAGGCAACTTATCCAGCCCTGGGTGGTCCTGGAGCAGAGTGGCCCACCGGCAGGTCCAGGGTGGGGTCCCATGTGGGGTTTGTGGAGCTGCCTGGAGTACACACTCGGCATAACTGCTGTCTTCTGGGGAAACATGGGCAGGTGGTCCATGTTCTATGCTGTTTACCAGAATGACTCTCAGATGGACAGATGGACGTGAGATTTGAGCATGAAAACCCATCAAACCTGGGCCACCTACAGATTTTCCAGGCCCCAGGAAACCAAACACCAACAAACCGCTACCACCGAGCCGTTTCCAGCTCACAGGGTTTCCCAGCCTGTAAATCTTTACGAGAACAGAAAGCCTCATCTGTCTCCCAAGGAGTGACTGCTGGGTTTGAACTGCCCACCGTGTGGTTAGCAGTCCAATGCTTATCCTAAAGGGCTACCAGGGCTATAGGTCCTGGCAAGACCTTTATAAAAGGACACTTTAAGCTAAAATAACAGTAGCTGTTGAGACAAGACTCAGACGCCCAGCTACCTCGTGTGTCCGCACAGAACTCTGCTCTGTAGGGTTTTCAGTGGCCAGGACTTTCTTGTGCAGCACCTCTGAGTCGGTTCAGACCTCCAACTTCCAAGTGAAATTGTTACTAGCTTGCACCCCTCAAGGACTCCCTGCTACAGGAAAGGCAAACTCACTCTCATCACCTCCAAGTACCGATGTTGAACGCCCTTGTGCCATTCCCCTTCCCTCCCCCTCCGTCTTCTCGTGTCTTCATTTTTGTCACTTGGTTTAAACATTGTCTCCTGGACAGGGAGGGAGTGCTTGTTCCTGCAGCTTGGCTCTGGTTGAACCTAGGCTTCTAGGCCCTGGCTGGCCTCTGACATTTGACCCATCCGTTTTCCTTCTTACAAGGAAGTCTCAACAACCAGTGACCAGGGAGAGGGAGCCCTGAGGTCACCTCCATCCTGCTGTTGGCCATGTGGGCCTTGCCCTGGACACATGGCCCCCTCCGCAGCGTGCACTGGTCCCTGCTGTACCTGGTTGCCTCCCTGAGTGTGCAATGTGGAGGTAAGGGTCTCCCCACTCTGTCTGCAGAGGGATGAGGCTGGGTCCTGGGTAGTGACAGACACCTGAGAACCCAAGGCCCTGAGGAGACAGGTGCAAGGCCCCATGCCTTGTACTGACTCCCAGGTTCCATGGACAGAGAGGGTCCTGACCCTTTAGGACATGGGTGTGTGCGGGACCAGAAAGGGCCAGGGTCTCAGGCAGCCTTCAACCCCTGTGATCTAGCTTAGATGGATTCCCACCCTGGCCACCAGTGACATCACCAGGAACTTTACAGATGGCTGGCCATTACACCCCGAACCTATCAAGTTGGGAAGGCCAGGCATCAGCAAGTTTTAAGCTCCCCAGAAACTCCAGTGTGTGTCTGGGGGGGTGGGGGTAAGGGGGAGACCTGGCCCAGAGCTTAGAGCTGGCTCAGAATCATAAGAAACAGGAAAAGCATGTGCATTCTGGGCCCCGTGCCTCATGGAGGGGGCCCTCCTCTTAGATCCCCCATGCCCGGCTGGCAGTAGCAGCAACAGGGTTGGATGGTGGCCTGATCAGTGGACAGGTGAGGCCCACTGTGTTCAGATAACCCAGGGGAGTTGTGGCTTTTCCTGGAGCTGAGGGCCAGTCTTGGGTGCCCCCACCATGCTGTCCCTGTAGATCTAGGACAGGGTCTACCCCCACCATGCTGTCCCTATAGATCTGGGACAGGGTGGATCTCCCCCACCATGTTGTCCCTATAGATCTGAGGCAGGGTGGACCACCCCCACCATGTTGTCCCTATAGATCTGAGACAGGGTGGACCACCCCCACCATGCAGTCCCTATAGATCTGGGGCAGGGTGGATCTCCCCCACCATGTTGTCCCTGTAGATCTGAGACAGGATGGACCACCCCCACCATGCTGTCCCTATAGATCTG